CTGATGGGCATGGGAGAAGTTGTGTTTGCCATGGGACTGGAAGGGGCAGGATTTGCCTCAGGTTGGTGGGTGGAGAGGCAGTGTTTCCCATGGTCAGGGTCTGCCTGCACAGGAACAGCCACAGGGGGCTGAGGATGTGTTTCATTCTGAGATAGATGAGGGAGAGGCCAGGGACTGCTGTGGTGCATAGGAGCTTCCTCAGGCTTGGTGCTGGAAGAGTGCTCCCTCCATGAAGGAGTGGGTCAGGATTTGCTGTGTGTTTCTGACCAGTGTCTCTTTGCCCACAGCAGCAGCACGAGGACGTGTCCGCTAAGAAGCTGAGGCTGACCAAGCCCAGCAAGTCAGCAGCTCTCCATGTGGACCTGTGCAAAGCCACCTCGCCTGCAGATGCATTGCAGTACCTGCTCCAGTTTGCCAGGAAGCCTGTAGAAGTGGAGAGCGTGGAAGGGGTTGTCAGGATCCTGCTGGAGCATTATTACAAGGTGGTGAAGCTGGGAGCCAAGTGTGCTGACTGATGTTTCCTACCTTGCTTTTCAGTTCCTGTAGCAGTGGAGAAATGTTTTAGCTGCTGCTTATGCTGTGAACAAAGCCCTTTAAAAAGATGCTTCTGAAAAGCTTTTCAACAAAAAGATATTAAGAGCAGAATAACAAATAAATAACAGAAGCAATATATGCTTTATCATATCCAGATATTAATCCTTTACTTGATAAAGCAAAGCGTTACTGCATCTGACAAAGCTGAAGTATTTGTCATAAATACCCTTGTGTGACTCTGTCTTTACAACTGAGTCTGTTTTGCTTTGAACTTACACCAAAACTCAGCTGCATTTTATCTCTTCCTGTATTTCACCTGCTTTGACTTGTGTCTTGAGACTGATTTACATTAGGCCATTTTGAGGAGAGCTTATTTTGGTCACTGGGCTAGTTGCCCACTCACAAGGGTGTACAACTTAACTTGATCTATTTGTTCTGGGAATCCTTCTGTTGTTCCTGGGCAAATAATGCAGCTTATTTGTGTTTGAAGTTTGTGTTGTAGCCTTTATGAGAAGAGAGACTCTTAAATCTGCAGACGGTCACATTCTCAAGTGCACAACCTGTTAAACATATCAGCTTTCTAAAGCAGCACAGTCCTGATAATATTTTACTGTCCAATAGCTGATAATATTTTACTTAAGGACAAAACTTGCTGAAGAACTGGTTTATTATAAACCAGTATCTCCAGACAACTTGCACTGGAACTGATCTTTCAGAAGCCTCACCCTGGAAGCTGTGACTGTGGTGGAAGCTGTATGATGATGAGTTTGTTTGTAGTGTTGTGGTTAAGGTGGTGCTGCAGCCTCCTGCTTCTTCATCCCTTTATATTAGGATAGGACAATCCTCAAACAGTCCTGTTGGCCTCTGACATGGATCAGGAAAATAATCTGGCTTTTTCTTTCTTCTCCCTTTTCCCACCCATGGCCCTGCTGATGGTGGATTCAACACCAGAGCTGAGCAGGGGGAGTGTTGTGATGTGTGTGGGAAAGCTGGGGGGCAGGATATTGTAAGCTTTGTTGTGACAAGTGTCTTCAAACAGTGGCCTGAGGTTATCCTGAAGTTCCTTTCCTGTCTCCTGAGGGTGATTGGGATGAGGGATTAGAGGCACCTTCACTTAGTGGTGTTCTGGTTGTGATGGTCTGATGGCAATCAGACCTGCACGCTCAAAGGACAACTTTCTCTATTTTCCTGATGAGGATCGTTAGAAGGAGGGAGAAAATGCCTTTTGGGGTGAGAGGCTGCTTGTAGCTCCATAATAACATTACAGGTATTATTCATAAGCGTATTAAAAATACCTTTTTAAGTGTCCTTTTGAAATCATTGATTTCTTCTGTATCCATGGAGAGAGTTGTCCTTTTCTTAGAAGAACTTGAGTAATGGAGAGTGAACAGTACATGTGTAAACATAGAATCATAGAATGGTTTGGGTTGGAAGGAACCTTAAAGCTCCCCCAGGTCCAACCCCTGCCACGGGCAGGGACACCTTCCACTAGAGCAGATTGCTCCAAGCCCCTGTGTCCAACCTGGCCTTGAACACTGCCAGGGATGGGGCAGCCACAGCTTCTCTGGGCACCCTGTGCCAGCGCCTCAGCACCCTCACAGGGAAGAGCTTCTGCCTTGTATCCAACCTGAACACACTACTGTGGAAATCCATGTGTCCTACCACCAACGTCAGCTGTCCAGTGACAGCAAATGTCAAGGACATAATTTCAACCCTGAAAAGAGAAAATGCTTCTCAGCTCAGCTGAGAAAGAGAGAACTGCTGTGGGTTTCGCCTTTGTCACTTGTGGCGTGTGTGTGATGCTCAAGTCTCTCCTGAACACTGTTGGAAGATGTAGAAGTTGCATCTGTAATACTTCTTCATGGGTTGAACGATGTAATGTGTGTAATATTTCTGCACAATTGCTTGTGCAACAAAAACATACTTAGATTGGCAAGATCTAAGTATGAAATTCGACTTCTTTTTGTCTTTCTACCCTGAATTGTTTGTTCTTGACAGTATGATGGAAGAGGGCTTCCAGTTACAACCAGAAGTTCGTGTGCATAAGTCTATAGAAGACTCCAAATAATTCCATGAAATGCATGAGCTTTTAAAATGAATAGTAGTTTGTGAAGCTTATTTATGTAATTATCACTTGGACAGCTTTGCTGTTGCTTAAATGAATCATAGAAGCAACCAGGTTGGAAAAGACCTTTAAGATCATCAGGTCCAACCATTACCACAGTATTGCCAAGGCCACTACTAGCCCATGTCAACATGAGCAGATGTTTGCTGCTAACATATGCTTCTACTGGTTTATGTAATTTTTACCTTGCTGTGATGGATTTCTGTAATTTCTTGCTGTCAGATTGGCAAGATTCCTCCCCACCAGGAAGAAGAACAGTTGTTTTCTGTAGCCCCAGACCCTGCTCTTCAGCAGAGATCAAGAGACCATCAGCCTCAGTTCATCTAAAATCCTTCCATTTGCTCATTCAAAAAGATATTAATGTGAACAACACTGAGTTTTCTGGCATCTTGAAAACCTGATTTATTTAAACTTCACATTTCCAAACAGGATGAAAGTAATTTTTAGGAATTGTGAGCAAAAGAATCATTTTGAGATGTGCTGGAAGCTGCCACCTAAATGGTTTTGTGTGGTTGATTTCGCATGGGATGTTCTGTGGGTGTATAGAAGAGGAAGCAGCCTGACAGTAGAATTCAGACCCTTGTGCTGAGTTATAGGTTGGTCCTGCCTGTGTGTAGTGGAAACTGGGAAATAAATGAGGTGTCTTGTTTCCTTCCAGGAGAATGATGCCTCTGTAAGGCTGAAGATCGCTTCCCTGCTGGGCTTGTTGTCCAAAACTGCTGGGTTTTCCCCAGACTGCATCATGGATGATGCCATTAACACACTTCAGAATGAGAGTAAGTCCCAGTTTTTACATGGTGCCTGAGATCAAGGCAGATTCATCCTGTCTTTTAAGCATTTAGGACAGTGGTAAGGCCCTTACAACTGAAGTGTATAGTTGGGAACTGTTGCTCAGAGCATTTATGTTCTGCTTTTGGGAATGTTAACAGAAAATAGCATATTCTGAGGAGGAGAACAATGTTCCTCAGACCTGCCTGCTGTGTACCTTTGTTTTAAGGAAGTGCAAACTTTGCTTTTCCATCTCTGTGAGACCTATTGCTTCTGAAATGCTCTGTTCTAGAGGACAGTCTTAAAGTGGAATCTTGTTTGAAGATGAAGTTTTCTTTCTTACCGTGCATTAGTTTATTCCTGTTGGATTTATAATAGACAGTAAAATAGAGGTTGTCCTGTTTGTGGTTTCATTACAGTCTGTTTTTATTTTCTATGTTATATTCACACTTTGTGTGGGCTTTATGTGATATAGTTTAATTTTAATGTCATTTATAGAATCATGGAGTGGTTTGGGTTGGAATGGACTTTAAAGCTCATCCTGTCAGGGATGGGGCAGCTTCTCTGCAACCTGTGCCAGGGCCTTACCACCCTCACAAGGAAGAACTTCTTCCTAAGATCTAACCTTAATCTCAGTTGTAAGTGCTGGTAGGGTTGAGTGAGCTCAGCAGAGAGCCACTCAGGTTGTTGGTTGCTGGAGTAAGCGATGTGCAGAGGAGAAGCTGAGGGAGCTGGGCTTGTCCTGGCTGTAAAAGGAGAAGTTTTCAGGAGGACCTTCCAAGCCTGATGAGTGTGTGATTCTGTAGCTGCTGAGAACTCACTAAAGAGGTACAGAGCCTTTCACTGCTTTGTTTTGCAGAGTCTCACCAGGTCCTTGCTCAGCTGCTGGACACCCTGTTGGTGATTGGCACAAAACTCACAGAGAATCCACCTGTCAGGATGAGACTGGTAGAGGTAGCCTGCAAGGTAAGGCAGCCTCCTTGGGGCAGGAAGCCTTTATCACTGCCACAGGAGAAAAAACACGTGGTCTCAGTGTTTAAATTCTCAACAAACTTAAAGTACTAGCATGTTACTAGCTGCTAGGAATCTTCATATGATTAGTTGTTACAGGGGGCTGAAAGAACAAGAAGATTCCAATTCCATCTGTTCTGTTTTTCCATTCCACAGCATCTGACAGATTCTTCCCATGGTGTGAGAAATAAGTGTCTTCAGTTAATTGGCTGTCTTGGACCAGTGGAAAAAGGTGTTGCAAAAGAATCTGAAAGCCAGGCTGCCAAAGATGTCCAGAAGATAATAGGAGATCATTTTAATGATCAGGACCCTCGTGTCAGGACTGCAGCTATAAAAGCCATGGTAAGTGGTGCTGGTGCAGTTGGACAGAGCTTAGGTGACATGGTCTGGTGTGAGGTGTCCCTACCCATGGTAAGGGATTGGAACTGGATGATCCTAAGGTTCTTTCCAACCCAAACCATTCTGTGATTTGAAATACTTATAGCCAAGATAATGAAATACTTTAATATAGCAGGAATCAAGAAATGCAAGCAAGTAAGTTTACTCAAAGCAGAAAAAAGAGCAGTGAAAACTTGGTCTGTGTCACTTAAGCCTATAGTTTATATAGGTTTATATATTTATATATATAGTTTACATATTTACATAGTTGTTTATGTTTGTTTTTCTGTAGCTGCAGCTTCATGAAAGAGGATTAAAACTGCAGCAGGCTATTTACAGCCAGGTAAACCCTTGTATTTCTATTTATTTTGTCCTTGTGTGCATATCCTGCTTTTTAGATTCTGTGACAATGTGCTTGGAGAGGAGGAGGACACTAAGCAGAGGTGCTGTATCTTGCACTTAGGTTGCCTGTATTCCTTATTGTCCTGTGGCAGTGGAAATGGAAATCTCTTTAGCATTATTGTGCTTAACTGCACTGAAGCATATGCTGTGATATGTATTGTTGGGGGAGGTAATTATGGGAAGGACAAGGCACTGTGTGGTTATTAAAGTCTTCTGGCAATCTCAGTGTCTTAACCCCTTGTTTATTGGAGCAAATGCATGAAACCTGTATCTGTTATGTCAGTCAGGTTGCAAGGGTGAAGCCTGCAACAAATTAGTTCTATTACAGATTCACCTTTCATGTTTCCTGCATAGTACAGCCAATTCTGGAGTGTTACAGCATGTGCCTGATGGACTTTAGTAGGACAAGTCTACCTGATCAAACCTAGAAATACTAGAGAGTAGAAGGGAAGACTAAGTCCACTCTGATTTTTTTATCTGTCCTAACTGATTCCTGGTGAGGATCCTCATTGCACTGTGAGAAGTGAATGACAGCTCAACTAGAGATGTTTCAGGTAGATTGGACTGTGAATCTTCTTTCAGGCCTGCAAGCTGTTGGCAGATGATTATGAGCAAGTGCGTAGTGCTGCAGTTCAGCTCATCTGGGTCCTCAGCCAACTTTACCCTGAAAGGTATGTGCTGGATGCAAAATGACTCAAAATATTGGCAGAGTAATCATCCTAATCCTGAGAGGTTTGTCCTAAGAGTGAGTAAGTCCTACTTACTAAATCCTAAGAGTTAGTAAGTCTTAGGAGTAGCTGATGTGTACGAATTGCCAATACCTCATAAGAATGCACTGATCCAGATGAAGTTTTGGCTCCTGGTACTTGTAGCACATCCATAGGAATTCAACATAGCTGCTTCTTACTTGATGCCATCCAGCATGGTGTAAGATCAGCAAACTGAGTGCTGTTTCTCTGTGATAGCATTGTCCCAATTCCTTCTTCTAATGAAGAAATTCGCTTGGTTGATGATGCCTTTGGCAAAATCTGTCACATGGTCAGCGATGGCTCCTGGGTTGTTAGAGTTCAAGCGGCCAAGTTATTGGTAAGTTGCATTCTTCTCTTCTCTAGTTAAGAATAGTTCATCTTCTGTTACTTTAATTTCACATATATTTGAGAAGAAATGGGAGAACGTTTATCCCAGGCACAGCTACAGGCTGGGCGGAGA